TAAACTGGAAGTGTCCAGTCCTCGTCAGACGAAACAGCCAGGGTTGGTGAATCCTGGAGCAGATCGGTGTACACCTATTTACTAAATTCGTATGTTTAGGGATTCACCTGAAAATTATATTTACATTTATTGGTCAAAGTTACAGCCATTTCCCGTTTTCAGAAGTGAAGTCTTCGTTAAAAAAGTTGGGAGATTTCTAAACCAGCTATCGGTACTTTTTAAATTTATTTGAGGATGTTTATTATTATTATTTAGACGTTTACGGACATGTTTGCGAGTCATTATTAACATTCAGCGCAATTCGGCAGTTCGCACCTGATAGGACCCATACTATACATATTTGCTAGTGATATGAGTCGTGAAGCTAGAATAGGTACGGTTTTTTTCCACGGTCACCTTAGAGATAAGCGTAATAAGATAAAACAAACACAGAATAAAAAATCTTCTATGCTACAGTTGAGGTGTGAATTATCGTGGTTCCTGACCGTCACGAACGAATACATATACAAAAACACATCATCCTGTATTATTAAGTCAGGCCAGCAAGCTGGATACAGCAACGAACATAGAAAAAACCTACCCGGTCCAATTCAGATTCATCGACACCGGTTAGATCCAGAGCGTATCCTGCAAAAAAAAGGAAAAGCAAGAGATTAAAACAATTTCGAAAGGAGTTGCACTTTTGATGGATACGAAAGCCAATACGTCTTACTTAAACTGAGAAACCGGAGGGGCGGAAATAGCCTAAGAAGGCGCAAATTGTTACTCTCATAAGGGTTAACTGGTTCGAACGGACTTTTATAGCACTGGTCTATAAGAAGAGATTGAAGACTCAAGTACACGAACAAAAACTTAATTCGGCTGAGGTTTCGGCTCAACTTTCGAACCCACATCAAAGACGGCAGACGTGCTGAGGAGACAACAAGAAATGGGACATATATAGAACACAGTGAATCGGTAGCTCCTGTTCGTACCTTGCGCGAGCTTATCACTAGAACTCGTAATAGTAACTAGGTAGGTTGGTGCACCAATACTACTAACGCAAGCACTGTTAAGTAGCGCGCTTCCAGCGACCAATAAGTGCCAAGCCAAAGTTTCCGCGTGGAATGTAGGGTGATTTGTGCTATTCTGTAGATCGGAGGACCATAACTCAAACGGTTCCCACCAGTCTAAAGAATTTCGACAATGTTGAAATTGATGAAAAGACCCAGGTCTAGTTGACTGAGCCGCGACTTGAAGGTTGGTATCACCCCCCC